GCCACATACATGGGGGCTGAATCCCAATGCAGACGAGGCAGGGGTTGTGCTCGCCCTTCGCATCCTTGCGCCTCTTGCGAGCGTTGAGCAGAGCAACTTATTTGCACTCAAGACCAGCCGCCCCGCATTGGTCTTTGAGAACGACGGAGCCTCGCCCGGACTGCCCGCCGCCGTGCGCCGACAGCGCCTTGCTCATGCGCCCGCGCCGTCGAGGCCGGGGCTTGCTCCCCGCCGGGCTTCTCGCCGGGAAGTTCCCGCTCACCAGGTGGGAGGTGAGCAGCACCTTGGCGCCGTTGTCCAGCAGGTACTTCAGGGTGGGCACCGCGGCCCTGCAGGGTGACGTCATGGGGGGGGGTGTGTGGGAGGGCGGGCATAAGAAGATGACAAGTGGTTGAGCAGGGCCGGTTTACGCGGTCGGCGTCGTCGCATGAAATGATGACCGTGCGCGCATTGATATTGCAAGCAGGTTCGACCCCACAGGAGCGCTCTGGCTGAGGGGTGCGCCGTCACGGGCGCCCAAGCCCCGCGCTGCGCTGCGCAGCACCATGTGCGCGGCGGCCGCATGCGCGCGCAGACCGGGGGCGGTCCCACCTGATGCGGGTGTCATCGGTGATGGCCAGGGTCTGCTTGTCGAGCGGCACGTTGAGGTCGGCGCGCACAAACACGCGCTTGCCCTCAAGGTCAGCCTGGAGTGGGGTTTGGGGTCAGGGGGAGGCAGCGCCGGCACGTGAGGCGAGGGGGGCAGGGCGTCGAACTGCGGTCGGGGCTGCGCTGATGTTGAGGGTTGGGAATGAGGGCCGTGCTTCTGGTTGTGCGCGCATGGAGTCTGTGCAAACGGCCGGCGAGGGCAGGCGGTGCTGCGCAGGGGAAGCTCGCGGGGCGAGTGCAGTGACAAGAGAGCGTCCAGGGCAGGTTGCGCTGCCTGCGGGGCTGCAAGCGCCGCTGCAACCCCAGCAATTGTGGAAAGCATCAGGCCTGTGAGATTCTGTGCTGGTTGCTGACCCCTCCTGGACGCGAACCAGGGATCAGCGCTCGAATGGAATGATGTCGACAAATGCGATCGCAGCCAGGCCCCTCCGCCCAGGACAGCCATTGGCCCCCAATGCGCGCCTGCGATCCCATCTATTACTTGTTCGGCAATCACAGGCACAACCATGCCCGGGCAGGCCCCTGGGAGCCCCGACAGCGCCTTCGAAGAGTCAACTCCCGCGATCTCTTCCGCGATGCTCACCTTGGTCAGATCCCCGACGGACTTCTTGACCGCCTTGACAACCAGGCGGGCGCGGCCGACCCTCTGGGCGGGCGCGCGCCGGGCAACCCGGGGCTGGCACTGACGGAGCTGCATGGTTATCAGTAGGGACTAGATTGAGACTGATTGCCTCTGAAAAAGTGTTTTGCTTGACCGCGCGATGCGGCATATGAGGCCGTCTGCTCTCGGGGGGAGCGGGTTCGTTGTAACTGGGTGAGTAGTGGGCCGCGAGGCCGCCAAATCACGCTGTTGCGATCATTTTTGGACGTGAGCTATGTCTACAAACGGCGATGAATTCGCGTTGTGTGGAGGCTTGTCATTGCCGCTGCTGTTTTGTTGGTCCGCACATGGTGGCTCAGGGGCCCTTGCAATCCATCAGCCTCCCAGCGACGGCATCGGCGGCATCCGCACCGCCGCAGCGCTTGGACTGTCGGTAGGGGCTGCCCTGCCGCCCTCCCGACGAAGCGATGGCGACTCCCGGCGCGACCTGCTGATTGACCTGCTGCTGCCATCGGGTGTGCTGCTGCGGTCGGCATGATGCCGTGCTCCCCCCCACTCCTGCACCTGCTGCTGCTCCTGCAGTTGCTGGTGCTGCTGTTGCTCCCGCCGCTGCTCCTGCTGCTCCTGCTGCTGCTCTAGACTGTGTTGGCCCTGATCTGGTTCCTGCTGCTGGTGCTGCTGCTGGTGCTGCTGCTGCTGCTGCAGGGGCTTCGCACTGCCGCGCGCCAAGCCGTCCGCCTGCTGGTCGCCGCCCACCCCGGCCTCCACGTCTGCTCCGGCTCCCGCCCACGCCGCGCCACCTGTGGCTGCGGGACCGGCGCTGCCCCCTCTCTGCGCCTCCGCTCCATAGAGCATCTGCCCATCCCGATTTGAACGACAGCGAGCGGCGCAGGGTCACTTGGCGATGTGAGACGTGTCACCCGAGGAGCATGCAAAGCAACAAGCTCCCCTGGCCCACCCGTCGACGCGGCATCCGCAGGCCCCACATGCGACGAAGGTGGTGTGCGCCTTGGCCCCAGAACGCGCGGCAAGGGCGCAGGGCCGTGGAAGGGGCGCTGCTTAGCCTCCTCCTTGACACTCACAAAGCCGAGGCTGTCTCGCGCCTCTGACAGGCTGAGAGCGTCGGGGTGGGGGCTGGCGAAAGGGTCCTCCAGGTGGGTCGCCACCGCCAAGAGGCTCGCCAGCAGCAGCTGGAGCTGGGGGGTGGTGGGGAGGCGGGAGGGGTTGCGTGCAAGCGGGCTGCGTGGCGCAGTCGCATGCATTCGAATGTGGCCGCAGGCAGTTGCATGCAGTTGCATGCAGTCGCATGTGGCCGCATGCAGTTGCATGTGGTCGCATGCAAAAGCATGCAGTCGCATGCAGTTGCATGCAAAGCAATTATCAAGGTGGCGGGGCCAGAAAAAGTAGTTGACGTCGTCCAGGCCAAGCTGGGGAGCGGAGCGGCCGCGTCGGCTCAGCTGCCTGTGGCGCACGCTCTGGTGCAGGCACGCCCCCACGCTCTCGCGGCGCCGCGCACCGCCCGCTGACCCGGCAAGGGGGCGGCCCCCCCACGGCGCACCATGCAGCCAACTGCGACAGACCACGCGAACGCGGCCGAGCCGGGCGCGGACCGCGCCAGCTCGGCGAGCGCGGAGCCCGTGAGAATCGGGGCCACCAGCACCACGTTGTTTCGCGCCGTGGCCCGCAGCAGCAGCGGCGTCCTGAGCTCCTTCAACGCCGAGAGCTCCTCCACCGCCGCGTGGAGGGCGGCCACCTGCGTGAGGACAGTAAAAGACGGAGGGTCACCGTCTCCACGCTCAGGCGTGCGAGGCTTACCTCTGAATTGAAACCCCAAGTCAATAAACTCTCTGCATGAACCACAGTTTAGAGTGCGGAGAAGACGGTGGCATGCCTTGTCTTGGGCCAGGCCGAGCCGGCCCCAGGGCCGCCACGCCGTCTTTGGTTGCGATTGACGCGTAAGCGGAGGCCGCGCCCGTCGTCGGCATCCCGTCCCCACCTGCTGCAGAATGGCGACGTGCGCCGCGCCACCGCCGCCGCCGCCCGCGGCGACGCCGGCGCCGGCTGCCGCCGCGCCCAATGCGCCTACCGCGGCCTGCACCCGCCGCAGGCGCGTGCCGATGTCCAGCGAGAGCTTGTACTGCAGAGGTGTTGCAACAGGTGCCGCCGAGCCCGGGGACCGGGCGCGGATTGGTATGAAGGTGGGCTTCAGTAGCGATCAGGGGTGACCGCAGGCCAAGCGATTCTGGCCTCCGGTCACCCCTTAGGGTTGAAGGACGCATGAGCCCGCGCCGACAATTGTGTGCTTGGGACCACAAACCTTGACGAACCCCTCTTGCTGGACGAGCAAATTGTGCGTCAACGGCCATGCGCAACCTTGGGCGCAGCCGTGAAGGTTTGCGCACCAGGCCTGGTGAGGGGGACGATGCGCTGGAGAGAAGGCCCCAGCTGAACCCCTCGGTGTTGGGGCGGGGCGGGCCGCCTAGGTAGCCGTGTAGCGCGTCTGCGCTTTGGGGTCCATGCGCATTGGGGACAGGGGCGAGGTGGAGGCCGGGTTTGGGAGGGGAGGCCGCCAAAGGCACACGCCGGTGCCCCTGCGGTTTCATCGACTCATGCGCCACAGCAGAGGCCGGCAGCGGCGGCGGATCGATGTGGCAGCGAGTTGCGAGTAAGGGGGCAGCTGCCGTGTGTCGCAACTTGCTGCAGCTGCTGCGGCTCGGCGCTGCGCGCGCACCCATTAGGCGCATGGACGCGGCGCGCAGGCCGTCACGGTGGTCTGCGGCCCCGCCGGGCCCGTCGGCCGGCACTGCGGGTGGTAGCGCAGCCGCCAGGGCGTCGACGCTGACAAGGCACGCCTTGACTGTGCAATTGTTTGGGGGGGGGTGCGGGGTTGCCTAGTGTTAAGAGGGGACGCTGATGTGCCGTTGCATGCGTTGACAACGTCAACCAGCCGTCTGCGCTGATATAAGATAATCAAGGCATTTCGGCCACCGTCGCTGCGTGGCGACTTGGCATGCACACATGGTCACATACACCGTTCATCAGAGCGACCCACCTTGCCCCAGCAGCACGGCGCCCCGATCCCGCCGCGCGACGCCGGCGGCCGCCATGTACGCGGTGAGTAGCCAGATCCCCACCGAGAACTGTGTCACCAGCCCATCAGTCAACGCGGCTGACCGGCTGGTGACAAAGAAGACTGCTGCCAGGCTGACCAGCGCCGCAGAGAACCAGGCCCATGGCGGCAGCGACACGACCGCGGCGAGCAGCGCGCAGAACAGGCTGGCGACCTGCCGGTTCGCCTGCCGCAGCAAGGCGGCGCCGGCCGCGCGCGCGCGCGTGCGCGCATCGCCGCGGAGCAGGCGGTCGTCGGTGAACGCGGTGAGGCCGCGCGCGCGCAGCGAGACGGCGATCGGGGCGTCCATCGCTGCGGCAGAAACTGCCGCTGGAATAGCAGCCTAGATCCACCACCGCGTTGCTGTTCTACACAAGTGAGGGCCCCTTTCGCAATGACGTCCTAGCTAGCCCTATCGAGCCGCTCCGAAATTGCATGAGCTTGACGCCGTGATGAAATCAACGATACGAACAATTTCTTATTACATCACATCCGTGTTATGCCGTCTGCTGCGCTGGTGATCTCGCATGTGGATCTGGCGCGCTTGATTTTGTATTCTCGGAACGGGACGGTGTGCACCTAAGCAAGTCTGCAGTGAAATTGACCCATACATTTTTTTCATAGGTCAATAGAGAAAGCGTCAGCTGGTCAACGCGCTACCGCAGGCGCTACCCCCCCCCCCCCCCGGCCGAAACAATTGCAGGGGCAGCCAGTTACTCAAGCCCGTTGTGTGGTGCCATACGGGATCAGTGGTGCAGTCAGGTGGAAGAAATTCCACAACGCCACTCTCAGAACGCTGCGCTTACAGTCATACAATCGATTGGTTCGGGGACGATTTGACCCAGACCCAGGACCCCCTCAAGCTTTGCACAACCCCTAAGCTTTGCACGCCCAAATGAGCACAGCGCAGCAACCTGAACGCAGCACCAATGCAAGCTGCATCAAGCGCCGCCGTCGCCGTCCGCCGCCGCCGCGTGCCAGGCCGTGACCGTCCCGTCCCTGCCGCCCGCCACGACCAGCCGCGACGCTGGGTCGTACGCCATCGCGCCGCCCGCGACAAACGCGCGCCGGCCGCGCAGCCGCGCCGCGGGCACCGGCGGCGCGCCGCCGTTGGAGCAGCCGAGGAGCGCGGCCCCCTCCCATAGGCAGCTGCTCAGGTCGCCCGCGCCTGCGGGCAACGGTTGTTTGTTGCGCTTTCCTTACCCACAACCAAGCCTCTGGATGGGTTGGAATGCTCAGGTGTTCGTGCAACAATCGCTCTCCCTTGATCCCTTCACCAAGCACTTCATACCTAATTCAGAACCTCAGGCCTTTGGCACTCACCCCGCAAAAGCGCTCGCCCACCTGTGACGACGCCACAGCCATTCGCGCCCGCCCCCGCAGCCAGCAGCCGCACGGGCGCCGCGTGCGCTTGATGGAGGCCTAGCAACTCCCCGCCCTCCGCCCAGACAGCCACACCCCCGTCTTGGCAGCCCGTAACGACCCTCAACGCGCCGCCGCCGCCGCCGCCGCTCATGCCGCTGCCGCCGCCGTCCCGGTCGTCCCAGAGTGCCAGCGCCGTCACCGCGCCCGCGTGGCCGACGTGCACCCCCCTGCACGTGCCGCTGGCCGCGTCCCAAACCCTGGACGTCCAATCGGCGCTTGCGCTGACCAGCAGCGGCCCGCCTTCGTCGCCGCACGCACCCACGAGTGCAGGCGGCGCGAACGCGAGCTGCGTCACCCAGTCGCCATGGCCGCAGCACTCTGCCGCCGGCGCGTCGGGCCGCCGCACGTCCCAAACGAGTACAGCCCCGTCCCGGGTCCCCGCTGCGATGAGCGGCCCGCCGCCGCCCTGCGCGGCCACGCACTGCAGGGGCGCGCTGCGGGGCGCAGCGAGTGCCGCGGCCAGGCCGCCCGCGCTGCTGCCGGCGCGCGCATCCCAGATGATGACGCGGCCATCGAGCGAGCACGACAGGAGCGCCGCGTCGGGGCCGGCCGCGTCGGGGGCGCCGGACGGGGGCAGCAGCTGCAGCTGGGTCACTGGGGCCGAGTGACCTGCGAGGGGAGGCGCGAAAACGTCACGCGCGGCTCGGGAGCAGCGGGGCGCGCGCGGCTCCGCGCATCAGCCAGTCAATATTAGAATGCCTCGCGTCGCAGGTTTGGCGCGACGGGGCGTTCGGCGGGTGCAGTGCGTTTGGTGCCACCTGGTTAAATCCCGTCCCGACCCCGAGGCTGGGCACTAGACATAGCCCGCCGCACCTTCCAGCTCGACAGCCGGCGCGCCGCCGCGGATGTCGAGCAACCAGATGCTGGCGCCGTCCACGTTCCCGACCGCGCCGCACGCCCCGCTGCGCGCCAGCGCGAGGCAGCTGCCCGCCAGCGGGCCGCGCGGCGGCGCGGCGATTGCGGCCGAGGCGCCGGGGGACAGGGACAGGCAGGCGAACAGGCGGATGGTGCCCTCCGTTGTTTGCAGTACCTGTTGGCAAATCGACAGGGCGAGGGGCTCAGCAGGGACCAGGTGCACAGGTTGGAAGGGGGGTGCAAGCGGATCAGCAAGCAGTTGACTCAACCACCATCCCGATCCACAGCCGCCGGAGCTGAGGACATGCTGAAACTGCCAAAAAAAACAGCCGATTGCTGCCGCTGGCACAGCCGCACGGCGGCTGCGGCCGGCGGTATAGTATGCCCAGTCAGTCGTCCAACCCTGACGCCGTCTTGAAGTGAAACACCCGGCCAACCTTGAGGCTGCCGTCTGCTGACGTGGACACCACCACGCCGTTGCTCGCCGCCAGCGCCAGCACCGGCCCCGCGTGCGCCGCCTCAAACTGCACCGCGCCCGGCGCCAGCAGGCCCGCGGGCCCCGCCGCCGGCGCAGCGGGCGCGCGGCCGCCGCTGCCCTTCCTGCCAATCGCCGCCGCCGCCGCCGCGGCCGGCGCCGCTGCGCCCCTGCCGGGAGACTGCCCGGCCTTAATGAAGAAACCCCGGTCGGCCGCCGCCGCGGCCGCGGCCCCGGGCTTGCCGCTCAGAGCCGCGGACGCCGCCCCCTTGAGGTTGCATCCGCCCCCGCCGCCGCCGCCGCCGCCGCCCTGGCCGTTGCCGCCGCCCGGAGACGGCGCCGGCGACGTAGGCAGCCGCCCCGCGCCCCGCGCGCCCGGCGGCGCCTCGGGGATCGCGCCAACCTGCCGCCCCCTCGGGGCGCCGCCCCAGCCGCAGCCGCCGGCCCCGCAGCCCGCGTGCACGCCGGCGGGG